TTACCAAAGAGTTCGGTGACCATTATGAACCACCCTTTTCCATTCCTTTGTAGCACAGATTCGAACCTCTTGTTCTCACAAGTCAACGAGTTTCTCCAACCTTCTTCCCGAAAGGAATTTACAGTTCCATCTACAAAACCTTTCAACTACACAAAAGCCTCCTCTAGTAGGAGAATCAACGCCTTACTCCCTTCTCTGATTTTCAAGAGAGCCTTCCCCTTTGTCCTTCCCTGCTCAAACAGGAAGGATTTGGCTTCAATGAACAACTCCAGTCTCCATTTCCCCGCCAGCTTGAACTTCCTCTCCCCTCCCATACCTCTCCAAAAAAAAAATAATAGCAAGTTCTGTTAGGAAGGATAAACCGGTTGTAGCCTAGACTCCTTTGGGAGAAGGTTTTGTTAAACTAAGTTTTGATGGCAGCTTTCTCTTCTTCTCTTCTTCTCCTTCTCTCTTCCTTCTCTCTTCAAGAAACTACTTTTCTTTTATATTTTTTAATTCAGCAGATTTCTACTATTTTTTTGAATGTGCACATGTATTATATCATTTTATTGGTTTGCTTTATTTTATCAGAATACACCCTATTGTATGTTACCATTTTTTTATTAAAGTAATTCTCTTTTACATTAAAACTATGAAAGTTTCTTTTGGGTTTGAGACATTGAGTTTTGAACCGAGATCTGAGAAGAGAAAGCAAGGACTGAGAAGTTACCATTGTTCAGTCCAAGTAGTCCAAGACCTCCCAAGTACGTTTCTTCTTCTTCTTCTTCTTCAAGAAATATTTTTGGGATGAAAAACAAGGGCTTCGCCTCCTCCTCCTTCCTAAAATCACACGGTACTCCTTTCTTACTTTTAACAACCCTCCTCCTCCATTTTTTTTATCCTGAAACAGGGTCTCCACCCCCTTAAACACAGTCCACATCGTCCTCTTGGACAACTTATGTTGGGAACGAAACAGGGGCTCCGCCCCCTTATTTTTCTCTCTTTTCTTAGCTACACTCCCCCATTTTTGTTGGCATGGATGCTAGCTTAAGGCATTTTATTGCTAATAGCTAGCACACATGTATGTTGGTTTGTATAAACCAATAAAGTAGCTTAAGAGGGGTAAGAATATTTATTTTATACTTTCAAATTCCATTGCCTAGGCGCCTTGAAAACTATGGTGAGGCTTGCAGATGGATCATTTTCCTCCATTGCAAGCCAGGGATCAATATCCCTTCTTCATGGCCTTAACCTGAATAATGTGTTACATGTTCCTCAACTTCCTATCAACTTGCTTTCCATTAGTAGTATCACAAGCTCTTTAAATTGTAGTGTAACCATTTTTCCTTGTTCATGTGTTTTCTAGGATCTAACTTTTTGGGAAGACGATTGGTAGAGGAAGTTTAGTGGATGGTCTCTACATTCTTGACAACAAAGCTAGTCTTTCGGTGTCATCCTCAGAGTCATTTAGTTAGTCAAATAAGTCAAATTTTTTTGTGGCATAGCCAGTTGGGTCATGTTTCATTTGAAATAATGAAGCCTTTGTTTCCTTTTTAAGTCATGTTCAGTGTCAAATTTTCAATGTCAAACTTGTCAGTTGAGTAAACAATGTAGAACAACATTTCATATAAATAATAAAAGATCAAGTTTTCCTTTCCATATTGTGTATTCTGATGTATGGGGACCTACTACTATAACCTCTAAGGGTGGGTACAAGTACTTTATCACGTTGATTGATGATTTCTCCCGCTATACATGGGTATTTCCCATGCGTAGCAAAGACGAAGTTCCAAAGATTGTAAAAGACTTCAAGAGGATGGTGTTTACATAGTTTCATGTCGAAATCTAGATCTTTCAATCCGATAATGCAAAGGAATATTTCCATGGTGAGCTCAATAAGTTCTTTGCCTCTCATGGGTCTATTCACAAGAGCTCATGTGCAAGAACACCACAACAAAATGGTGTTGCAGAAAGAAAGAGCAGACACCTACTTGAGGTAGCACGAGGGATGATGTTACACATGAATGTAACAAAAAAAATTTGGATGGGTGCTATACTTGTAGCTGCTTATGTCATCAATCACATGCCCTCCAGAGTGTTGAACTACATGGCCCCTCATCAGTTATTGTTCCCCCAGTCTCCTTTATTTTCCATTCCCATGAGAGTGTTTGGTTGTCATGCCTTTGTCCATGATTTGTCTCCGTCTCATGGTAAATTAGACCCTTAGTCTATTCCATGTATTTTTCTAGGGTATCCCTCCTCTCAAAACGGTTACCGGTTCTTTGATCCCATTAGTCATAAGTTTTTTGTCTCTATGGATGTTTCCTTCTTTGAGTCTAAATCGTTCTTCCCTGCTTCTCCTCAGGGGGAAAGTAGCGTGGAAGAGGAGAAGAAAGTCTAGGTCCGTCAAGTCTCTCTTCCTTCTATTTCGGACCCTGCTCCCTTTTGTGTCTTCCAAGTTCCAACGTAAACGCCGTAGAGATCAACAATGTGACAAAGATGTGGAGCCACCAAACATTGAGCAACCGACACCTTCAAACTCCTAGGAGGTAAGTTCAAATGAACTAGGCCCCAATGCACCTGTTGATACCCCTGCTCCCATTTTGGTTGTGGACGACCTTGATATTCCCATTGCTCAAAGAAAGGGAGTCAGGTCATGCACTACCAAACACCCCATTACCCAATATGTTTCCTATGATCACATTTCCCCCTCGAACAGAGCCTTCCTATTTGCAGTTGATTGCATCCCCGTGCCTAGAAATGTTGCAAAGGCCTTAAAATACCCTAAATGGGCAGATGTTATGAAGGAGGAGATTAATGCCCTCCATAAAAATCAAACTTGGGAGTTGGTGGATCTTCCAAGGGGTGTAAATGGGTGTTTACAGTTAAACACAAGGCGGACGGGACAGTTGAAAGGTACAAAACAAGATTAGTAGCAAAAGGGTACACTCAAGTCTATGGGGTTAACTATGATGAAACGTTTGCTCCAGTAGGTAAGATGAACTCAATTCGAATTCTTCTATCATTGGTTGCTAACCTTGACGAGGAATTGCATCAATTGGACATAAAGAATGACTTTTTAAATGGTGACCTAGAGGAGGTGTACATGGTTCAACCCCCAGGATTTTGTGCCAAGGGAAGTGAAAATAAGGTGTGCAAGCTAAGAAATCCTCTTTATGGTTTAAAACAATCTCCCTGGGCTTGGTTCAGTAAATTTCATGTGGTAGTCCAGCAAGTAGGATTCAGGCAATGTCAGTCTGATCACACTCTCTTTGCGAAGAGATGTCAGGAACAAGTTACTATGTTGATAGTATATGTGGATGATATCATCATTACAGGAAATTGGAGCTCAAAAATACAAAAGTTGAAACAGTTCCTAGCATCTCATTTTAAGGTGAAAGATCTGGGTCCATTAAAGTACTTTCTTGGAATTGAAGTTTCCCGCTCAAAAAGGGGCATCTTCATTTCTCAGAGGAAGTACGCCCTTGATTTGTTACAAGACATAGGCAAGTTAGGTGCAAAGCCAGTAGATACTCCTGTGGATGTCGACCATAAATTGGGTGACTGTGATGGTGAACCTCTGAAAGATGTGAAGCAGTTCCAAAGGTTAGTGGGAAGGTTGCTTTATTTGTCCATGACCCATCTGGACATTACTTATTCAATTGGGGTTCTGATCCAATTCATGCATTCCCCTAAGAAACCACACATGGAGGCAGCAGAGAGGATTCTTAGGTATAAGTATCCAGGAACAGGTCTGCTATTTAGTAAACATAATCATTTGAAGGTGGAAGTCTATACGGATGCTGATTGGATAGGTGTTGTGGATGACAAAAAGTCCACAAGTGGGTACTACACATTTGTGGGAGGAAATCTAGTGACATGGAGAAGAAAAAAACAAAATGCGGTAGCAAGGTCAAGTGTTGAAGCGGAGTATAGGGCTATGGCACATGGGGTGGCTGAAGTACTGTGGCTAAAAAATGTTCTAGGGGAGCTTGGAGTTGCTGTTTATAATCCTATGTCTCTTTACTATGACAACAAGGATGCCATAAGCATTGCCAGCAATCCTGTCCTACACGAGAGGACCAAGCACATTGAAGTAGGCAAACACTTCATAAGGGAAAAATTGGAAAAGGGAGAAATTTGTACTCCTTATGTCAACTCCAAGGAGCAACTAGCTGATGTCCTCACAAAGGGGCTTCCATATTCGCGACACAATGAGTTGTGTGACAAGTTGGGCATGATAGACATATTCAGCCCAACTTGAGGGGGAGTGTTGTTAGTGTTATTATTTTATCTTTGTTGTTAGTGTGTTGTCAGCCTAGTATGCTGTCAGCTTGTTCTTTTCTTCTTTTAATTAGTTTATTATTAGGGTGTGCCGCCAAGGGTATAAATGTAATCTCCCATTTATTATTATGTTATATCATTATAAATAAGAAGCTGGGCACCGCCAGCAATACTTTTTGACTCCCAAACTATTTTCCCTCTTCTCTTCTTCTCTTCTTCTCTTCTTCTCTTCTTCTCTTCTTCTCTTCTTCTCTTCTCTCTCTTTTCTCTCTTTTCTCTCTCTCCAAGAAAGAAAATAAAATGAAAGAAAATGGTACCAAACTTGAACTGGGTACAAACTTTGCACCTGGCCAAAGTTTGCACTGCAACCAAACGCAACCTTAAGTGAAAAACATCAGACTCATGGTAACATTTAGCTCTCCTTCAAAGATGATAAACTATTCCTACTTTTTTCACTATTGTATATAGAACAAAATCCGTAAAGCAAATCATATCATCATTTTTGTAACAACTTCTCTTTGTCTTAAGAAAGCCAAAACACTTGCATAACTTTTTTAATGGCTATCACTAGCCAAAACCAGTATGTGTTTATTTATGCTTGGATCTTAAATGATGCTCAATAAGTCAGTAATTAAGTTCAAAAAAATTAAAAAACAGAGGAGAAACAACCCACAGTCTCAAAATATCATAGGGTTTTTTGTATATAAGAAGAAAGGAGAGTGTGAGAGGAGCAGGACCTTACCGCAGCAGCACGAGCAGTGAACACCAGTAAAAGGATATGCAGAAAGGGCTTGAACTTGAAGAAAGGTCCACACTCTCTCTTTCTCTCAAAACCAGGGCTTGAAGAAGAAGAAGACCATGCCAGAGATAGAGTTGATGACCGGTCAATGGTCGGTCCAAACCTTGCTGGAGTTGGAGCCTGGAGGGAAGAATAAGCAGAAAGAGTTTGGAGCGCGAGAAGGAAGAAATCACTGCACTCTTTCTACATTTTTTGTTCTTGAAATAGAAATTATATCTAAACCATTGATTTCAAACCCATATCTATGGTTCAAATGGAATCTTAAACATAATATTAACCCACATATTTTAGTGTCAATTATAATCTGTATGTAGAAGCAATTTTAACATCTGGCACTTCTTATATATATAATTGTGAGATATCCATGTGTATCAATTTTAGTACATGCCACAAAAATAACATATAGTGGTGACGACAAGAAATGCCACCATTAAGAAAAGTAAAAACACCCCTAAATCCCAACTTTGTTGTAAAATCAACTATTTAAAAGTTTTAAATGTCATTTGAACACTTTCTGACACAAAAAACTAATGGCATCCTAATTGATGGGTGAAATCAGTAACTTAACTCCAAAGTACGAGGGGTGAGTAAGTTAATAGGGATACCCAAGGGGAGGTCTCGATATTTGACCAAAACCCCAATAAGTAATTTACCCCTATCTTTTTTAGCATTATCTTGTATATTATATAGATAAAAATAGCTTCATTCGTATTTTTTGAAGGGACAAACTCTTACTGCTAAAGGCACTTTGGTAAAATACCTATTTCCTAATTCTGTCTGAATGAAACTGCAAAGGTATAAGTAACAGTCCATCTCTGCAGCTATGGTTATATTTGTTGTTGAAGTTTGACCTGCCATAGAATTCTGTCTTGTTCGTTGACTGTAGAGTAAAGTAGACAGCAAGAAGTAGGAGAGGAAAGAAGAAAAGAGAGAAGAGAGAAAAGAGAGAAAGGCTGGTTCGAATTAGGGAAAAAAGTTAATCCCTTGATTCGGCCAGACCTATTATTATA